TCAAAAAAATATACTATCGATAGAACCATCGATAGCACGGTTGCCATTTATAAACAAAAAAACCAAATTAAAACAAACTAAACAAATTTGTTTTTCTCCACGTATATATTACAAAGGGCAAAACTTATTAAACTTGTGCGTTCGATCACATAATTACTTTTTATATGTATTTTATATGCACGTTACATAAGAAATAGGAATTTGAAAAATTCATTTATTCATTTTTGGCATTTAGTATGCAATAATACTTGTCGTAAAGAAAAAATTGGGAAATGTTGGGAACTGGTAGGGAGCGTGGCTCCCCAAACCCACCTTAAACGCAAGAGGATGGACGCCCCTTTATAAAAAGTCACCCCTGCCCCCTTCACACCTAGACCTGTAAGAAGAATTCCCCTTTCTGTGTTGCCGAAGAAAAGTGGCTGAACACCTTTTGCAGAGATATTTCGTGGTTATTATTTTCTAGACAGATCAGCTCGGAAATTTGCAACAAAATACCATATTTGCAACCGACATTATTTTAAAAATTAGTGCACAATAAAGCATGAACTGTGGTCCAAAAGTGTGTGTAAAAGTTTTTTGATTCGAATTACTCGTTTGGGCACAGTACCCCAAAATCGTTGTACAAATAATGGCTAATTAAAAAAAAAAACAAATCAGGGAAAAACTATCAAACAACCAAATAAAAAAATAGAAGAAAAAGAACCAAGTTTGGTTGGAAACAAGGAACAGTGGCAACCGTGATCGATAGTTTTGCAACTGTCAAAACGCTGCTGTTTTTGCAGTTTTCTGTCGGTGTCAAAAATTTTCGTTTGCATTTCTGATATTTTATCCATACTACTTGCATATTGTCGAGTTTAAAGTAATCAAAAGGGCACTGCTGTACGGAAAATAACGAGGTATTACTTGCAAATATTTGGTAAATAAACTCTCCTTTTGTGTCTTGTACGCCGCTCTAACAAACAACGGCAAGGTTAAGGCTACAAAAAAAAACTTGGAAGCGTACCTCTATCACCAGAACCCATCTAAACATGGCCTCAACAATGCAGCTGGAGTTCTCGCAGGCCATGTCTGATTTCAAGACCATGTTTCCAGACATGGATCGTGAAGTTATTGAGGCAGTGTTGCGTGCAAATCAAGGCGCAGTGGATGCGACAATCGACCAGCTGCTGGCAATGTCAACCGATAACCAGAACGAAAAGCTGCGCAATGAATTGGATGCTAAAACGTCACCACAACGCAGTTTAATCAATCTGCACGGCACGGAAACGCAACCTGCGACCGCACAGTTGATTGACACCTCTGATGGTAGTGGCACAACAGTGCCGAACAATCAACAAACTCCAGCCGCAGCGGCCAATGCAGTGTTATTGAATCTCAGTGGCAGTAATGGTGTAAATGCATCACCCAATCATAATACAGGTGCATCACCTAAGCAACGATTGGTAAGTGCCACCAACAAATCGTCAGCCAGCGGAACACCAAAACGCAATGCTCCTCATGGTACACGACGTTGGAATCCACCTATGATCGGCCCTCTCCCGCCTGGCTTTCTACGCATTACCCCAACCACGCAGGATGGAGTAACGCGTGATTTTGACTTGCCAGACGAACAGTTTGCAATGATGTTGCAAAATGAAGAATTCATGAATCAGTTGCGATGGAATCAGGAATTTATGAATGCTCTGGAAAAAGAACAGTGCGGCAAAGCTAAAGGTGAAGATGATGCAGCATTTAAAGAGCGACTAAAGCATATGGGTAAGATGTCCAGGAAGAAATTCTTACAAATGGCGCGAGTTTTTACGTGGCAGCGCAACAAGAAGACAACAACAGCCAAACAAATTGATTCGCTGCCATTGAAGGAAGAGCCTAGCGACGATGAAGAGCACCATCATCAGCAACAGCGTAAGTAAAGGGAGGAATAAGATAGCAAAGGAAAGACAAGTACGCTTAGGATACGGTATGACTTTGTTTAGACATTACTTATTGTTTCAATTTAAAAAAAAACATGTATTTTTAAGTAAAAGTAGTTAGTTAAAATATTCCGGTTTACTTTTTAGTAATACATATGTATGTATAATAATTTTTTTATTTCATGCTTTACATACGAGATTGCAATTATCTAATGTGATGCTCCTAAGATTTCCCTGCTGATAAGCGTATTTGTTTATACTTATTCTTTAATATATTTAAAAGTGGTTGCTTGTTAAGGCAAACACCTAAATTCTACAAGTACACAAAAGCTTTGAAAAAATTAAAACTTTATCTTAAGTGATCTTAGTTATCAAATAATGTATGAGAATTATGTTAAGACGAGTAAATGGCGTGAAAGGTTGTAGTGTATAAATGAGAAGTGCAATAAAAGATTGTGCAGTTGAGCTTGGAAACTATTATTTAAAGCAAATATTTTGTTTTTTATAGCTTGATAAGCAGTTGTTATTTGTTATTGACTGATACAAAGTACGTGGACGTTGTAATATGTACATATATATTTAAATAAATTGTATGATTTTTAACAGTATTTTATATTTTGGCCTGATGTACAATTTGTTAAAATTTAAGATTGATATGAAAGAAGTTTTGATTCCAAATGCAATTTTTGTATTTGTAAAGAATTTTTCCAAATTTTTAAATACACAAATTTTATATTAAGGCTCAAATCGTTATCAACGTAAACATTCAACGTTGGGTATAAATGTGCAAGCTTCCTTGTAGTAAAATTCGAATCTCAAAGCGATGGTAGTGCAATAAATGATAAATTGACTTAAATTTAATGCTGTTCTTGCACCTTATAACGTTTGTTTTAAAAGAAAATACTTGGCAGGACTGAATAGATACATAATTATTAGATTAATAACAGCAAGAGGCGCAGAGATTTAAAAAATGATTCACCAGTGTATGCACATATGTATAATTATGTAACTTAAACCATCAAAATTAACGCTATAATAAGAAAACTGGTCTGAAATTCTTCAAACCAACATAAAATGTCTCAAAAATCTGCAAGCCAGAAAATTAAAATTCAAATTCGTATGGTATGCAGAGTGAGAATTAATTTATCATCAGAAAAGAGTTAAAAACCACAAACCCCAAAAAAGCTTATATTGCATAAATTCCTAGAAACATACACATATATACATATATGGTTAAATTAATAACTGTTATGATAAATTAAAATTGTATAAATCTTAATAAAACATGACTAGTCACAATTAAATTTATAAAATAAAGAATAAAACTACATGCATATATTGTATCAAATTTTCCGTCAACTAGTAACAATAGTTTTTACTTGTCGTAGATAAACTAAAAAGAGTTTATTAATAATAATCAGTAAGCAAAGAACAAAAATATAAAAGTAAACTATTTAAAAGGCGCATTCAAGTTTATTGTAATCGAAAAATTTGTGTTTGAGGTAGAAAATTATTTAATGCAATTTCCAAATTTCACACAATGCAGGTTTCTCAATTAAAAACTGTATAATGCACAGTTTCATATTTCAAAATTTGTGTGGTACTTTATATTTACTTACATATATACATACAAATATATGTATGTATGTATTAATATGCATGTGCAATTGTTTAAAAAAAATTGATTTGCTAAAGAATTGAATGTTCATTTGTGTTTAAATCTCTGCTTTGACTTTTTTGAATTTCCTTTTGAGTTCTCCGTAATGGCAAGATCGCAAATTTACACCCATATTCATAAAAAATAAAGAAGACTTTAACTGCTTTATAAAACGATAATTTGTACGAAAATATATCTTTATAAAGCTCTTTAAACCTATATGTTTTTTTAAGAATAAGGCCATTAAGATGTTTGCATTATTGGTTTTTAAATTATAAATGCTTCCGAAAATATGCATATCACATTGTATATGTGCCAAATATTACTTCATTCAAATTACGTCACTAAACTGCTTTTCAGCTCATGTTAAAAAAAAAATGTAATGCAGTTATCCACTTTGACACTCGAGAACGGAAAATAACTGTAAAATGGCTAAACAGCGAAACCGGGTTGTCTCCAAAACGCCCAATTATACAAATAATTTCCCAAAAACCAATGGTATTTAAACTTTAAGCACTCGTACACGAATATTTTTTAAAAATTGGTCAATATTAAAAATTGTAAGAACCGTTGATCCAAAAAAAATGAGAAATAAATTTACTCTGAATTAAATTACTAAGATATTTTTGGTCTAGTAATTAGTAGAGTACTTCAAATAAAATGTTCAGAAAACAAAACAAGAATTTGGGGATAGCATTCAAAATCTCAAACTAATTCAAATTATTTCGCCTTTGTTCATACTATAAATTGGTTAAACTTTCTTAAAAACTAATTGTAATGTGTGCAAAACAAAACCAAAGTGAGGTTGAGCAATTTAAAGAATCTGTTATAAGTACATACATATGTAGTTACTGAAGAAAATATAACAAAATTTTTGTATTTATTTGAGCATAAATTACAGAAAGAATATATAATAACTATGTAATCCAGATCTCAAACAAGTCGTCTAAAAACTATATGCATTAAAAATAATAATTAACCAAAAGTGATATGCTCCCAATTTTAAAATTAGGATTTCGCAAAATATACATGCATGCATACACCTGCGTTCAGCTAATTATGAACGATATTCAAAACGATATTGTTTGCAAATTATGTATTTTTAACCGACTTCCAAAAAAGGAGGAGGTTATCAGTTCGTCGGAATATATATTTTTTTTTATTTTTTTTTTTTCAACAATAATTTTTAACGACTTGAGACTTGCACTTTCTTAGACTACAATTGAATGGGCTATGGAAGTGTACCCGAAAATTTTCTAATTATTCTGATTAAAAATGTGAAAATTTTGATGAAAATTTTTTGAAGTTTGATTAATTTTTTTTGCAATATTTTCAAGCTTTGAAACTTTTATTATTGTCGTTTCTGTTACAAATTGAATAATATATTTTAAACGAAAATTATTAAAATAAAAAGATAAACATAATTTGTAAACAATGTCATTTTGAATTTCGTGTCTATTTATTTGAACGCAGGTGTACATACTATGTATGTACATACAATATATACATGCGAACTCATTTTGAAATTCGACTACCTAACTTTGTAAGTAGAAAAAAATAGAATGAAACCTTTGTTCTTACGGAAAGGCGACGCAGAAAAAAGCATACAAAGTACAGAAAAGTTAAAAAAAGGCAGCACGTAACTACATGCTTATTAAGTAGCACACACTCCATATGTATGCAAATGATTGTATCATAGCAAAAACTAAGCTCTCATAAATAACAGAAGAAGAGTTACATATACTACATCAATTTAATTTAAAAAAGGCCATAAAATATGTAGAAGACATAATACAAATTATGTATGTAAAAATAAAGTTTACTAAGTATATACATAATAAAGAGAAACAAATAAATGTTACTCAAAACTTAAAGCCAACTCTATTTTTAATTCAGATTTGGTGCTTTATATGCTTAACCTACACAAACGCAATTGCCTGGATAGGATCGTTATGCAAAGAAAAGTAGGTGTATATGAATTAATGTGCAAATATGTATATGTACGAAAGTTTCCGCTGCGATCTATGTATGTACATACAAATGTATGTATGTAAATATTTAGTTCACGTTGTTTTGTCTAAAGATAGTAATAAATTCGACTCGCAGAGCTTTTATGTATTGTTTTGCAGTGTTTACTTTTAATTACTCTAGTATTTGTTTTTTTTTTTTTTATTGTTGCACCATTAATTCTAAATATATTAGTAATACCCTTTTGTTTATGTGTGTACATGCATACATACAGTGACGAACAAAAGTATTGGCAAAGTGAATTTTTCGCGTTAGTTTTTCAATCTAGTTTATTTTCGATAATTTTTTATAAAAATATAGTTCATTTTACACCAAAAAACATAAAAATGAAATCTCTAAACTTTGTGCAAAACTCAGGAAAATTCATTAAATTTGCACACTAATTTGCAACTTTTAATTCAGATTTTTTTTGAAAAATTCTAAGTTTTATAGTCCATTCATTTTAGTACGACAGAATGCAAGTTTAAAGTAGCTACAAAATCGCGTTGATTTTTGGCAATTTTTTTAGTGGAAGCTGCTGCTCATTTTCTCCATACAAAAAATAATTGTCGAATATACCTTGCTTGCGTGAACAAAAAATACCAAAAATCAATGGGATTTTCTAGCGACTTCAAACTTGCACTTTGTTATACTAAATTTGAATGGGCTATAAAACTGCATACTTAAATTTTTTCTAAAAAATCTGAATAAAAAGTTGCAAATTAGTGTGCAAATTTGATGAATTTTCCTGAGTTTTGCACAAAGTCAAGAGATTTTATTATTATGTTTTCTAGTGCAGAATAACCAATATTTTTATAAAAAATTATCGAAAATAAATTAGAATAAAAAACTTTGCATATATTGCGAAAAATTCACTGTGCCAATACTTCTGTTCGACACTGTATGTACTTACTTCTTGCATTGTAGCTAACATGAACTTTGCTATCTGTTTTGCAATTTCGTACATACGTATTTTCCTTTAGATATTGTAGTGTCATGGTGACACTCGTAGCTCAATAGATACATATTTACATATTACATACATCACATAAGCGTTTGCAGTTTCGTTTCATGAAATTTTAATTCGTCTTTGGAGTTCTTCTTGCTGTGGTTTCCGTTAACACGACTAAAAAATTCGTTCAAGTATAGTATATACATTACAGTTTATAGTATAGTGTAATTGGAATTACATGCATACATACTTACATGTGCGTGCATACATACATGCATGTGTTTATATGTTTGAACATACATATTTACTATATAAATATGTTTTAGTTCTTCATTTTTATTGCTGTCATTTCAAAAAGGGCTGAACTTTTTACCGATCGCTTCCGTTGATCCACCATAATTGCAGACTTTCATACATACATATATGTATGTATATGTACACATCGTCGTTTAAAGTACAAAACCGCGTATCAACAAAATGCAAAACCGCGTATGTGAGGTTGCATAAATTACTTTATAGAGAGTAAAAACAGTCATATTTCAAAATGGTTCTCCTTTTTATAAAGCAATCGCATTTCTGGCTACTATATTTCAGGACGAATGGATAAGGATTGAGCCAAGCGCTTGTGTAAGCAAATCCAATTTTTGGCAGCCAATGTCAGTTACGCTGTTTTGCAGAATGACGATACGCGGTTTTGTACTTTAAACGACGATATATAATTCGATATTTTGAAACATTCTTATATTACGTTCAAATTGGCTGTTAAATGAAAAAGGGCTTTTTGGAAAACACAATCGTCCACATTGAACATTTTGAGTTGATTTCGACGGTTGTTTGATTACCAATAAAAATTCGAAAAACAGAAGCATACATACCATTCATTTTAATTTCAATATTTAGCACTATTCGTTTTGGACCCTATCATCTTAAACACAGTAAACGCATGGGGAGGCAGCCATACGCCTTACTCGATCACGGTGTCAAGTCGAAAATGCGTTGCACCTTTCGAAAACCATCAAAATAATTTTTAAATCCTTTAGAGCCTTCAAAATTAAAGTTCCCCTTCCGAAGAAAACTGTTACTTTCTAGTTGTCATTGATGGCATGTAAGCTCTTCAAAATTCCAGTTGCGATTCTTTAAGTTGTACATTTATTGGTGTGCCTTTCTTGAGCACAATGCATAGAACCATTCATATTTCGTCCTAGCATGAACACTACCGTTTTCTTTCATTTTGAACCAGAATCACAACAATAAGGACCTGACCTCAGTTCTGTGTAGCCTTTTAATTTTTGGTTACATTTCGTGTTTTGTTTTTCATTCCTTGGCTATCCATGGTTAAATGCCGAATCGGAGCTTAGTTGCGTTAATAAGACATTTCAATTATAGTTCAGAGATAAAAGACCACTGTTGCAATTTCATTAATTTTTTTTAACTCATAAGAGCGCTAAACTTACAATCACTTTTCGAATGGATAAAAAAACTATTAAATTTTAAGGCATATTTTTGTTTTTCACCAATTTTGTTCAGCACTTATCAGTCTTCTAAATGACATTAATACGAAGCTCCAAGGATGGCTACAAGTCTATATCGTGCCCCTAATGCCAGAAACTTGAATGTGTAAAAATGAACATGGTGAGAAGTCAAGTTTGAAAGTATATTTTTATGAGACTTAACTCTACTTTCATGTAATTGGCATAAGCATGATTCCGGGCATTCATGTCAAACCATTAACTCAAAATTGGTAAATTTCCACATTTATACTTCTGGCATAAGGGGAACGAAAAAATAATTGCCTATTCAAGCGAAACTTGGTGTATCTCCACATTTATACATAAATACATAGGCATGTACATTTATTAGTACTCTTGCAAACGAATGTACTTATACTTACGCTCGTATACTACGTATATACGCACGCTTTGGTTACAAACGCCCATGGAATTTTAAAACGCCTTTAATTTGTAGTATTCTCCCACCACTATCGAGGCGTATGCACATA